TAAGCACACTTTAGTCCAGCCTGGACTAGGGATGCTGGAAATGGGGATAGAAGCTGAAAAATGCAAAGGCTTAACTCCAACATCTATATCACTTACACCAGAAATATAGTTCTTCTCTTGGGGAAAAAAAAAATTCAAAGCCAGTTGTTTTTGCTTTCTTTTTTTGCTAAGGTAAGGAACTTTTTGCTTACTTCTCAATCACTCCGCAGAGAAATGACTTTCAGCTTCAGATAACATGCTCTAGGGGACTCTGTACCTCTCAAGAGTAGTGGAACACTGCTCAATAAAACAACGCAATAGTGGATGTGAAAAATATCTGGTTCTTTCACAAGAATCCAAGTTAAAATATAGATGACATGGCAAACCCCAAATTCACATAGGTCGGGTAGGGGGGCCTAGAAAATACATCAAAGAGACAGGAAGTTATCCACTAGAGAATCTGGAACTGAGAGTATTATACTCACATTTGGAAGGTATGCTATGGTATGACAAAATATCAGTCTGATGGTATTCATGAAATTAAGCATGAGAGGTGCCTATTTAGCCACTCAAACTCCAAGCAACTGAGATGCAATACAAATGAGCAGCTTGTGTGACTACGAAGCAGGAGAAAGTAGAACATTTAGGTGCTCTACTAGACACCAGTGCTTTCAAATACAAGCCTGGATCACTATGACTACGTTGCAAATGACAGAAAACCCAAATCTAACTAGTTTAATGAAAGATACGTATTGGCTCACATAGCTGAAAAGTCCAGAGGTAAGTCTTAACTCAAGTAAGGCTTGGGCTAGTGGCTCAAACAATGTCACCAGGGACCCAGTTTTTCTGTTCTTTGCCACTATCTTCTTTGATATTGGCTTCATCCTCAAGCTCCACATACTAACATCAGGAAGCTCCAGATTCTCCCCTCACCTGCCCATTTAACAGAAAAAAAAAAGAAAGTATTGCCCTAGTTCAAGGCTTCATATCTTCCTATATATATCATACAGAGGAGGACAGAGAGTGTCTTCTTCGGTTGCTCTCAAAGAAAAGCTTCTCTCTTTCAGAAGGCCCAGTAAATATCTCCTCATATCTCATTGGCTCTGTGGCCAAATAGGACAAGTTGATGGACCTAGGCTTAGGAAGTTGGGGGTGAGGCCAAACCAGGTGGCTGAGAAAGGATGTTTTCCCAAAGATTATTTGGGTTATTGTCCCCATAGAGAAAGAGAATGGATACTGGGAACCAAGTAAGAGATGAATATTATGGAACCCTGACTCAGCCTTGACAAAGACATGCTCAGAATTGCAGACACTGGTTTGAGTTGCTTCTAAGACAACTCCGTAGCTACCTCTGAGTTGTAAAACAGGAGGGATTTCATTATTCATTACCCCAAGAGTTTCTGTGCTGGCCCACTAATTGTCATATGTGAATGACTCAATACACTATTTTTACATTTCCTCACTTTCTGATCCTACTTCTGAAAATTCTGAAGACAAAATTTTACCATAATCAATTTTGATTTTAATATATTGCTAATTGCAATTTATCAGAAAGTATCTTAAATTCCTAAATTTTCTTTTATATTTAAATTTCTCCAAAATTTAGTAAGTATTAATTTCATTCCTCTTCTAACTTTGAGATGTGTGGAAAGTGTCATTACAAATTGGAAGGTCGTCCATGTTATGAATCCTTCATCACAGGCTATGTTCTTTGATATGGGCTCAGAGCTTTCAAGTACCTGTCTCTGGGGCTCTGGTAAGGAAAAGACCAGTCAGGAATTCTCTTAGTAGGGGCCATCCATTTCTACATGCTATTTCTTAATCCCTCTGAAATCACACATCTTTTGCCTATTTTGATAATTCTCTCATTGTGATATTTCTAAAATTTGTCTTGCCATTCCTCCACTCTGCCTACAAACATTTCCATCTTTGAGGGAAAGAGTTCCTAGGGTTGATCAATTTCCATGATGCTCCTCCATTAAGTCCAAAATGCTTCTTCTTTTTCGTGGTTCCATTTCTATGGGTTATTCTTCTTATTCATTCTCTCTCTCCCCCATTTTAAGATACTGACATCATCTAGCACACATATCATCCTCACTCTGGGAATTTATTAATATATTTAGGATTTTAATGATCACCTCCTTGTAGCACTAGTCCAAGCATTCAACCCTATTATCAAATGTGCCTGTATAATGTGTCCGCTAGTAATATTGCCAATCTCTCACTGACTACTCTTTCTTAGTATCTTTTTCTGGCACTTCCTCCTGCCCCACTCCCTAAATACTGAATTGGTGTTTCAGAGGACTCTATCCTGGGTCCTCATATTTTGCTATGCTCTCTGAAGGCAGTACCGTCCAACAGAGCTTCCTGAAATAATGAAAATGTTCTGTCGACACTATCCAATATGGTAGCCAACTGCCACATATAGTCATTGTGAGCTTGAAATCTGGGCAGTATTTAGGTAAGAACCTAAATTTTAAATTTAATTTAAATACTACATATAGCCAGTGGCTACTGTGTTCAATTTCGTTCATTTCTTCCCATGGCTTTAAGTACCTTCTGCTCATTTGATGACTCCCAGATGCAAAGTTCTAGATATGACTAACCCTGAGCTCTAGCCCATGTACACAACCACCACTTGAAATTTCTACTTATATATCTCACACATATCTCAAATGTTAATCCAAAACAGAGTTCTCAGTTTCTCCTTCACCAAACCTATTCCCATTCCAGTCTTAGTCATTCTAGTTAAGTGGTCCGCTGTCTAATTCAGCTGCTGAAACCACAAACCAGGAAGCTGTCCCTAATTCCTCTGTTACTCCTGTATCCACTGTTAGCAGGTCACTGATTTTATTTCCAAACTATATCTTAAATACATTTTTTCTCCATCTCTATTACCACCGCCCACTCCAAGTCATTATTATCTCCAACCTGGATTGTTAGCAAACTCCATGATCTCTTCTTTCATTTTCCTCCCTCTACAAACCATCGTCGACTTAGCATGCAGCGATCATCCTAAAATGTGAATCAAACATGTCATTCCTCCACTGAATACCCTTTAATGGCTTTTCACTTAGGATGGAATTGAATGATCTGGTCCACCTGTGTCTACAAACCTAACTTGTACCTCTCATACCCTTGATCATTATGTTACACCCCAAACCTTTTGGTTTCTTGAACATGCCAAACCCTTCACACATCAGAGTCTGCAGAGCTGTTCCCTCTGCCTGCTGTTCTTCCCATTCTTGATACATGTGCCTTCTTCTCATTCAGAGATTTAACTTTAATGTTACCTCCTAGGATAGGCCTTCCCTGACCATTTATATAAAGAGGTTCCCTCTCCATCATTCCCTCTCTGTAGCATTCATTTCCTTCATAATGCTTAGCAATTTTTAATCAATTACTTGAATTTTTTTGTTTGGTCTCTCTCACTATATGAATGTTCGTGAAAGGCAGGAAGCAGGTCTGACTTACCATTGTTTAGCAGCACCTAGCATAGCGCTTTGCATACAAGCAGGTGCTCAATGATATTTGCTTAATAAACTTCCCCAAAATGCCTGTTCACATCACTCGTTTCCATTTCTTGGTTCTGTTTAGTACAAAAGTTTCAATGCTTATTAGAGGTTACCCTAACTGGACTATGCTAAGCCAAGTGGCTTTAAGCTTCAGCAATCAGATAGTATGTTTGTAACTTTCAGGAAGCACTTTAGTCCAAGCCAGTCTCTGGCTTCTCTTCCTTGCTCCTTAGTCAACAATTATATTACCTGGCTGGGAGCTTCTAAAGTGGAATGCCTAATTGGCAGAGAGGCAAACTGCTGAAAGATGGCTCGAAAGGTGAAGTCTGGAGTGTGTTTCATCTGTTTTGGCCAGCACTCTCCTCTGAATAGGGCCTTTGTTTCTCTAACCCTTGAAGATGGTCAATACCATTCTCTAATAATACAGCTTACTCTGGAATGTGGGCTATCATGATGATGAGAAGGGAAAGACTGGAAGGGGATCTGGGATAGTGGAACAATGAGAGGGGTTGTAGCTATACAAATTTTTATGAAAACAAAACAAAACAAAGTCTCCCACTTGCTTTACATTTTCCCAGTCCCAGAGTGCTATCTTCTAACACAAAGGGAATCAGGTCTCCCAAGACTGCACAATTCAGACTATCCTCCACTAGTTTCCTTAAGTTACCTTGGTGACCTCAGGGTGGACCACAGCTTCAGAGGAAGAGAAAGTTCTGAGTTGGCAATGTAACTGCATTGTCATCTACAGCAAACATGGTTTTCAGTGAGGTAGATTTATGAAAGCTGAGTACTTGCATATAGAAAGAATATATCCAGGAAGACACACAACCAGTAACAGTAGCTGTCTCTGAGAAGACAGACTGGGAGATAAGAGTGACAAGGAGATTTACTTTTCACCGAACACGTTTTTGAACTATTTCAACTTTTTTTTATCATGAGCATGTTACAGCTAGTCAAAAATAAATAAGTTTCAAAATTTGAAAGAAATACAGTGTTGGTCCTCAAAGAGACATTTAGCTGGACTAACACAGTAAGACATTAGAAAAATATAAGACAGCACATAGTTAAATAACAATTTGGACAGTACTGATTACAAGTAGAAGAGGAAGAGAGGTCTGTTTGGTTGAAGGAGCTGGGTATTAGATGAGAAAGGGAAATTTTTAGCCTAGGGAAACTTGAGCAAATAGAAATGAGCAGAAGCAGAAATGTGCACAAATAAAGAACAGTAGACTCTGGGGTCAGAAAGACCTGCTTCTAATCTCAATTCTGTAACATATTAGCTAAGTGACCTTGAATGAGTTTTATAACTTCTTTCAATCTCAGATTTCTCATTTGTAAAACGAGGATGAGTACCTACCTCAATAGGATTAAGAAAAACTAAAGATTGTACATAAAGTGACTAGCATAGTACCCAACAGAGTAGATGCTCAACTAAAAGTTGCCTAGCATGAACATGGTCTAATAGGAGGACCACTCTTGCTAGAGCACAGGGTATCTATTCAGAAGGGGTAAGATAATACTGGCTATTAGAGTTATAACAAACTGTGGACAATCACCTTGTTTTGTCTCTGGGGTTCCTGTTGCATAAGAATTATAAGCAAGTACCACCATTATGCATTCTCTAATCTTCAATGTGAGAGGTCTGACAATTACAGGGTTTCTCTCTGGCATGGCGCCTCTGGTGCTTAATCAGAACAGAATTCTGACTGAAGGCCTTCCCACAGTCATTACATTGATAGGGTCTTTCCCCAGTATGGATTCTCTGATGTCGGATAAGGTGTGCCTTGCAGATGAAGCTTTTCCCACAGTCAGTACATTCATGGGGCTTCTCCCCCGTGTGGACTCTCTGGTGCTGAGCAAGATCAGAGTTCCACATAAAGCCTTTCCCACAGTCCTTGCATTCATAAGGCTTCTCCCCAGTGTGGATTCTCTGATGTCGAAGTAGGGCTGGGTTCCGAGTAAAGCTTTTCCCACATTCCTTACATGTGTATGGTTTTTCCCCAGTGTGGATTCGCTGATGTTGTGTAAGGCTAGTGTTCTGACTAAAGCCCTTCCCACATTCCTTACATTCAAAGGGTTTCTCTCCAGTATGTATTCTCTGGTGTCGAATCAGGTTTGACTTCCAAACGAAGGCTTTAGCACATTCTTGACACACGTAGGGTTTCACCCCCGTGTGAATTCTCTGATGTGCAATGCAGTGTGATCTAAAACTGAAAGTCTTTCCACATTCCTTACATCCATAGACCTTCTCTCCATTATGAATTCTCTGATGTTGGTCAAAGTCTTCATTTTGATCAAAACACTTGCCACATTCTTCACATATATAGAACACCTGCTCACTGAGAATTTTCTGATGTATAACAAGGTGGGTATTCACATCAGCATTCTCTGAACTATCTTCTCCTGAGACCATCTCATCTTTGACAATCACTTCTATAATATCATTTGCAGTGTTCTCCATACTTCTCCCATTGGAGTAGTTAGACCACCTCCCTAACCTGCTTTTTTCCTCCTCACAGGTTTTTCCAAACCAGAATTCCTGGGAGCCACACCACTGGGGTCTGCTTGATGACACCATGTGGTCCTTTGCCTCCTCAAAACGTTCCTCCTTCAGAATAAAATCTTTCTGACTCTTCAGCACACCCTCTGAAAGAAGAAATCAAAGCTGCAAATGTCATCATTACCCATGACAGAGCAAGTAAGGTCACCAAGTGGTACTAATGTGTCCATTTCACTCCAAGTGTCACTCTGTGTCTCAGTGGCCCTGTTCTAGCTGAAAATGGCACAACAGGGCTATCACACAGAAAGCAACTGAAGTGTATGCCACAGAAAGGCAGAAACTCCACAGAGTCTAGAGTGGAGCTCTCCAGAAATAGTTGAATTGAATCTAAGGGAGACAGATCAGAATTTCTTCTAGGTAGTCCGGTTTATAACATGAGAAGACCAGGCCAGGGTTCAGGGCAGAGGACCTGTTCAGAAATAACAAATCCTTTGGGGTATACCTGGGGAACCTGAACTTGTCATATGCAGCGGGAAGCAACAAGGAGAATCTTCCTCATACTTGTCAACATTAAAAGGAAATGTGGTCTTCCCATTCAATCCAGTTACCAGCCCCACCATGAAAAGTGCTTCCCCTAACTATTTCAGGCAAAGACTGCCTCCTCTTTGTGTCCACAGTGCTCTATTCACACCTCTGTTACAGCGCTGCACTTTGCTGTAATTATACATTTATGTCGAATGTACCATTAGACTATGAGCCCTTGGCAGGAGAGCGGCCATGTATTACTTGCTTTCTGATCCCTAAAAACTAACAGAATGAATAAAATACAGCATTTACTTTTAAAATTTTGGTTGACCGTAGCAGCCAGTAGGCCATCTGTCCCGTTAAAGCCTAAGACCCAAGAACCACCCGAATTAATCAATCATGTCCAAATGAAAGCTGAAGTTTAGAGTTTAACTTTGCTCTTCATCAAATGGTTGACTTGGGGATTTTTAGAGAGATTTTTATTTAGAACATAAATGGTGAAATGGAATTTTAACAGTTTACAAAAGAAAGACAGCAGAAAATATGTGCCTGGGAGGAAAGCGCTCATTTCCCTCACTTACCAGTACAGCTTAGGCTTGGACCCTCTCCTCGAAGTTTCAGGTTCAATGGCTCTTCTACCTGCTCAAGATGGGAGATCCCAGCAGGCTTTAGAAATGGACATCCTGCCAGGGTCAAGATATAAATAAGGCTGGCTCAGTCGGAGTGGGGCCCATTAGGAAAGGAGCAGAGATGAAAGTGGTAAGGGAGAATGAAGGTGGGTGGAAAGACTGGTACACAGGAGACCTGAAACTTGAGGAGGAGAACAATATAAAGGACAGAAGACAGATGCAGGGAAGTTGAAATTCCATCAGTTCCCCAAAACATGAGAATGTATCACTCATTTTTAAATGTCAAGGGGAAATAGGAGAGACTAAGGTCTCTTCTTCACCTCCCCTAGAAGGCAAAAGCCAGTTCACATGGAAAAGAATCAGGATGGGATGGAACTGCAAACAGCTGTTCCTGAGGCTATGCTGGGAAACCACAGTCCTTCAGCTTCCTTCCTGTCTACCCACCTATCTATTGCCTTCTCTTTCTACAAAGGATCAATGATGGGTCTCTCTAAGGCATCCATTAGACATGGACTCACAGCCTCATTCAGCCATTTCCAGAAGTCACTTCTTATTCTAATGACAGACACCTCTAATTGCAAAGGTCCACTCTAATAAACTCTTCTTCAGGCTTAGCTAAGATCTGTCTCTTTGTAACTCCCATCCAAAGCCTCCTAAGAAACGGAGCAATTCCTCACGCTCCAAATGGCCACCTTTTATCTTGCTGAAGCCAAGGACTGTGTGTCTCCTGATATTCTCTTCTTTAAGACAAAAATGGACTTTGAATAGGGGCATGTACTCAAAGGAAGTTTGCTGCCGGCCAGGGAGCTAGGGTTTTACTCAAGGAATAACTTAGCTGTTGGCTTTCTGCCTAGAGCCAAGATGGGAAATACCCTTGGGTGGTGGGAGTTTAAGCACTGAGATCCTGAGAGAAGGCAGAGGACACTGTAGTTGTCTCTCTACATCCAATCTACCACCACCACCAACCCCTCCCTCCTCTGCCACCCCCACCATTATGGAGTAGCCATGCCCTTTGGAGAGGAGGGATCCCAACTCCAGTTCCTAGTGCAGCCCTCACTGGTCTAAGCCAACCAGGTTAACCTATCCCACTCACTACATGAGAGTTAGTTTCAGAAATCGGCAGTCCGGGCCAAGACAATCAGTGCATACTATTTCCCTGGCCATAGTGATTGGTTTAGAGTTGGCGTAAGACTTAAGATGGTACATGGCAAAGGCCTGAGGAAGGCCTGCCCTATTTCTCTCCCTAGGTATGAAGAAGCAGAGCCTTGGTTACAACTACCAGTCATCTTACAACCACAAGAATAGCCAGACTGTAGACAAAGCCAACATACAAGGAGATAGAAAAGAGCAGAGACTGAAGCTCTGATCAAGCTGTACCTGCACCCTACCTATGAACTTCCTACTTACACGAAACAGTAAGTTCCTCTTTTTTGTTTAAGCTGGTTTGCACTGGGTTGTTACTTGTAACCACGATCATCCTAACATGGAAAGACTGCCAGACACAGCAAGGAACTGTGAGAATGGGGACACTGAGGGCAAAGCTCAAGTTCCACTGTGCCCACAGAAGAGCTCCTGTGGGAAGAAGATGGAATGGGGCCAGGGAGGCAAAAAGGGGACAGAGTTGTCACTAGGAAATTAGGAACAAGAAAGCCCTGTGTTGGGCCTAAAGGAATGCCAGGGCTTGGCCCACCAGAAACCCCTGAATTGGAACTATATGGCTCAGGGTTATTGAGACTTCTTGATTTCTAATGATAAAGACGGCCATGATACCCCAAAGGGCAGTCAGAATCTTCTGCTAGAAGACTAAAGGAGGCGGGGAATGTAGAAAGGCCACCCCAGTGCGTCAACAGAAAAGTCAGGGAGTACAGATGAATGGTGGCCATGATAAGAACAGCGGAAATGGGTTAGAGGCAAAACAGGTGAATGAAGAGGAGCCAGGGTGAATAGTAAACAGACTCAAGAAGATGGAAAATCATGGGAGCATAGAAAAAGATAAAAAAAAAAAAAAAGGAATCCCACTAGTGTCTATAGCACTAGGTTAAGAGAACACATACCTATTACATTTTAAAGATCAAGACAAGGGAACTGGTCAGATGACTGGCACCCGTCCTCACTCACCTGAGGAGATGCCCCTCGGGCCCTCTCCATCCAGAGCTCCCTGAGGAGCTTTGCACCAGGGTGCTTCCCCTCGCTCCAGCTGGGAAATCAGAGCCGGTTTGGGAAATGGAAATGCTGCTTAAGGGGAAGGAAATGGGACAGGCAGGTGAGTGGGGTGACAGAGAGCAATCCCAGGGCTCCTCCCAGGCTTTGTCTTTAGGGGCGGAGGGGAAAGAGGAGACTTAACTAGGGAGAGCAAGAAAAGGAAGTCCAGGGGAAGGGACAGGAGACCCAGGGGAGCGGGGCCGCGAGGTCAGGAATTAGAGTAAGAAGTGCTCAATAACAGTCTGAGTGAGCAAATGGATGATTCCACTCATTGAGAGATTAGGCTTTCTTGTTCTCTCCCTCTCTTAGAACTCTCAAGTTCAGACATCTCCATGAGGACACTTGGTATTGGGTTCGATCTCCCAAACTGAGTGGGTGGGAAACTGAGGGCTTGGTGGGGCACCAGGAATCTGCTCTTTTCCTACTCTACCCATAGCATAGGGGTTGGGAGTTAGGCAGCTCTCACCCTGGGGCAAGAAAGTCTGATGTGAGGACCAAATTTATACCAGGACGTCCCACTTCCCAGCAACCACTGAGGCTGGGTCATTATTAAGAATCCAAGGGCCTGAGGTTGCCACTCAGGTGGGGGTTATCAAAGATTCCTGAGCTTCTGAGGAAGAAGGAGTCAGGAAACTCTGAAGGGCAGAAGCAGAGTCCAAAAAGAAAGACCCTTACCCAGGGAAGCCACAGCCCCATAATTCTCCAGCATCACGTCCCTGTACAGCACCCTCTGAGCGGGGGCCAGGCCGGTCCATTCGTTCTCAGAGAAGTAGACGGCCACATCCTCGAAGGTCACTGACTCCTGAAACAACATGTGTTTAAATGCCCTAGGACAATCCCAGACCCAGGCCTGGAGTATGGGGTAGACCAGGCACAAAGAGGTACTGGAGGGGATGCCAGTTGATTTTCTGGATTCTGGCACTCTCTGCAGATTTGCACCCCCTACTTACAAAGATATAAGGGATCAGCCATCAATTTCTCACGTCTTCATCCCCTCATCTTTTTCATGAGTCTCTGCAAGTTTTCCCTTTTTCATCCTTATGCCCAAAACCACTATCCGCGTTCTAGGTGCCCTCATTTCTCAACAGCGGGTTGAGAAATGAGCGGTTGGTGACCTCCAGGCAGAGGTCACCAACCCTTGATAACAAGTGCGATTACCATCTATGAGCCTGTGCCAGGCACTTTACCTATATTACTTTGTGTATGCCTCACAGCCTCTGAGGAGGGGATTTGATTCATTTTATGGAAGAGAGTTAGGCTCAGAGATTCACTGCCCTCAAAGGTACAGAACCGAGACAGAATTCAGGGCAGTCTGCCTCTCTGGCTCTTCTTTACTGTGCCACACCGCCTTCTATCACTCCGGCCACCCCTGCTGGCCCAGGGTGAGGCTCTTTCTCTTCTCTCCCTCCCCCCTCACTGTCACCAGCCACAGAGGCAGCTAAAGGCACCCCAGAACACCACGGCTGCTCTGGAGGCTGTCCTCCAAAGGGCAGGTCCAAACTCGGACTTGACTCCCTGCACTCTGCCACTCCAGCACACTCTCTCAAACGCCCCGCCCTACTCTTCCTTGCCCACTTCCCAGTTTTAATGTCCCCCTTTCCTGTATCTCTGGGAGCCCAAGCTTCTGCACCTTCTCTTACCTTCTTCCTTAAGAAACACAAACAGTGCTTCTGCAGAGCAATCAAGGCTTATAATTCCCAGCTACTGTCTCATTCAGATCTCAATCTCCATACTATGGAGAGGCTGATTCTGCTGCATTTCGGTCCTTGCCTTAGAAAATCCCCACAGCGACTTACTCAGCACCCCAGGGCTCAAAGACTTTGTCTGGCTCACCCTTGCCTGCCTCAAAACGTCCAAATCCTCTGCACCGGGAACAATTCCATTGACTATTCAGAGACCCAGCTTACCGGCCAAGGATCACCTCCTGCACCACCACCCTCATCCCCTATCCTGTCACCATCCTCTTAGGACCCCAAATCCTTTCCTTGCCCAAATCTGTGTTCTTGCACCTGCAGCTCCCCCTGCCTGGAGATGCAGTTCCTCCCTCCTGCGCCGGCAAACTCAGATTCATCTCAAGACCCACCTCAAACATAACCAGCTCTGTAAAAACCAGTGACACGGAAAGGCTGGACATTCGTCGCGGCGCACAGCGCTCCGTGAACACCTCCGCCCCAGCGCTCGGCTCATGCCTGTGCAGCTGCGCGTGTGTTTCCCCTGCCGGCGCAAGTCTGGGGGGATGTCGAATCCACTCCGCTCCCTGCCTCTTCCTCCGGCCCCTCCACTCTGGGCTGCACCCCGATTTCCCGGTCGCCGCACTGCCCCCTCCGCCCCTCCTGTGGGCCTAGAGCCCGGGGCAGAGCCGAGCCAGCTTCGTGGCGCCGGCCCCGCACTCACCGGGCGCGCCCGGGCCGGCGCGGGCTGTCCCGGTAGCAGCTCGAGGGCAGGGCCGAAGGGGGCCCCGCTCGCCAGGGCCGCAGCCGCCATGGCCCGGGCCGCCCTCCCGGGAAGCGAGCGCGCGCCGGGCCCGACCGGGGGCTGCCCGGGGTCGGGGAGGGACGCTCCGGCCCGGGGCGCGTCTGCTACAGCGGCCCCTCGCCCAGGAGCCGGCCGCGCGAGTCCCGGACTCCACGCCCCGCGGGCCGGGCCAGCCCCACGCCAGCTCCCCACGCTTGGCGCGAGCCAGAGCTCGGCACGGGAGAGGTGGAGGCGGCCGCCCTCCTGCCACTCCGGCTTCTCTAGGACGGCGGAGGGCGCCACGTCTCTGTGGTCCTTCCCTCTTGCCCAGCGAAGAAACAGGGAGCCGAGAGCGCGTCCCGCTCTCCCAGAGACACCAACCGCCTCAGGGCGCCGCTGTGGGAATGCGGGGGAGCGGGCTGTTGGGGAGAAGGCTTCCTCTGGGAATCCTCTCCCAGCCCTCTTCTTCCCACTGACCACCCTTCTCTGCAGTACTGCACTCGTGGGATGGATGCTGGTATGAAACAGCGCACACTTCTCTTGACATGCCTGTTCATGGATCTCCATCCCTTTACTGGGCTCTTCATTCCCAGAGAGCAGCTAATGGCCTTGATCATCTTTGTGCCTCTAATATCCACCCAACGTCTAGCACCTCTTATGGCCCAGTTTCTTTAAGTGCCAAGGCTTACTTGTTGAATAAAGGAAGTTTATTCAATGTTGAACTAGATTTTCAGTTGAAGAAAGTAAGGCTCAGAGAGAGGAAGTGGCTTATACTCACATCACACAGCATGCCGGGAAGCTAAACCTTTAAAGGAAATTGTGGAAATAAAAGAAGACCACCAAAATGAGAACAAGCAAAGGCTATTTATTCAGAGCTTGCTAGAAGCAAGGGAATCAACCACCATCACTTGCATTTGGCAGAGACTCTAAGCCGGGCAGAGGAGTGGGAAAGCCTTACAGTTAAAAAAAAAAAAAAAAAAGTGGGGGTGGGGAGAGACTTCACATATGCTCTGATTGGAGACTGTTGGCATGGGGGAGCTAACTAGAAGCAAGGCGTCTTATGTGAGTGGTTGGGGGAGGATATTAATCAAATTCTGGTTGTTTGGGGCTGACTGCTACAGGGTTTCTTTTGGCTTCCTGGACTGGTTACTACAGACTGTGGGTCAGAGTTCTATTTTCCTATATGGTCTGGTCATTTTCCATTTGTATATATAGTCTCTTGGGATGAACAAAGTAAGATGTCCTCTTCACAGAAATTCCAGTCCAGAGGCTCAGATTCCTTTTAGGTCCCCAGGTATTGAGAGCTTACAGATACTACACTCGTGAAAAATCACAGAACAAAGGAGACCTCGGGTGAGATTCCTGATTTGTTGGCTTGTTTGTTTCTAAGAGGATACTGGAGAAGCTCATAAATGGACCCTAGTGAATAGGCTGTGAGCACTGAGAAGGAAGCAATGAGTCTTACCCTGGGAAAAAAGATCACTAGGAAGGATGAGCACACAACAAATGCTCCCAGTGGGGTACCTGGGTGGCTCAGTTGTTAAGCGTCTGCCTTCGGCTCAGGTCATGATCCCAGGACCCTGGGATCCAGCCCCGCATCGGGCTCCCTGCTCAGTGGGAAGACTGCTTCTCCCTCTCCCACTCCCCCTGCTTGTGTTCCCTCTTTCGCTATGTCTCTCTCTGTCAAATAAATAAAAGATCTTTAAAAAATAAAAATAAATGCTCCCATGGGGCTCCTGGGTGGCTCAGTCGGTTAAGCGGCTGCCTTCGGCTCAGGTCATGATCTCGGGGTCCTGGGATCGAGCCCCGCATCGGGCTCCCCGCTCAGCGGAGAGCCTGCTTTTCCTTCTCCCTCTGCCTGCAGCTCTGCCTATCTCTCTGTCAAATAAATAAATAAATAAAATCTTTAAAAAAAATAAATAAATGCTCCCATGATCTTAGGGACAAGATGGAGAAAACTGCACTCAGTGCAAAATAATTATGGGAGTTTTAGCTCAGAATAAGGAGCCCTCAGACGCCTGATTATTAAGTCATGGTCCACCAGAAGGAAGGTCTCTTATGGTTCTGACCAGTGTTTTGGTTCAAAACTAAAGAGGAAAGAGATAATCTATTTTTACCCATATTCACCCATATATTTTTACTCTTTCCATTCTTCTTCCTATTAAACACATAGCAGCAGGCAAGGTCAAGGCCATGTCCTGACTTGACCAGTAAAGATAAAACAAGTCACTTTTAGATTCATACAATGTATTACTTATGTAAACAGCAAAAGTAAGAGTATCCAAACATGCCAGTCCCCAGATCCTTTTCCCACACACCAAAAACAATGACACCAAAACAAAAGGGGACTTGAGGACTGCAACATCCTTGGTGAGGAGCCAATTTTAGACTATAGCTAAGCAGTGTTACAGTCTGCAGTTATATCCAGAAAGCCTCAGACCTCTTCAGAATCTGAAAGGCAATGAGAAATTGTCTCATGACCGCCTCCCACAAGAAATAGGGAAGGGAGTGAGAGATGGGCTTGAAGGCCTGTAAAGCTCCTCTCATCCTCTCACGTTCTAGAAGGATCACAAGGTGATCTGCCATGACTCAGAGTAGCTGTTGTTCAAGCTTTTGCCTGCACAGCCTATATATGTGCGAACTTGCCAGGACACCATAGTGAAGTCATTCCCTTACAACAAGACCTCCCAACTGTTTACACATAAAGATTCTCAGGAATGAACCACCATACAGGTCATCAGATACTCTAATTAGTTGTACTGATAGAGGCTTGGGTCAAATACATTCCATGTGTCTCAGGCAACATCAGACAAAAGTTCCTGCGATAGTGACATGCTGTAATATAACCAGGCCCACTGGAGACTGGACCATAGTCAGGCTCCTCATCCAAAGCCAGTCCAGGTAAATAGGTCATTAATCCAAGTGAGGCAAGAGGTACTGGCAATGACCCATACCCCACCTAAACTGGCCAGCAAAAAATCCAGGGCAGTACGATTATCCATTACCACTCATACTAGAGAATTTAGAACAATCGTTGGTCTGTGAAAAATGTACAAGAAGTCCAATAATAACAGCATGAGGCTAAAGGGAATAATTTCAGTGTCCAGGAAGTTAATCTTATTCTGTTGTTTCTTGCTGAGACTGTTTCTTTCTGGAGTCAGTGGCTATTGGGAAGATTCTGAGAGTTTTAAAATTAAGATTATTTATTGGCTAGTTATAAAATTGAGGGTGGTGATGGAAGCCTGAGTTGTTGCTCAGATACCCTACAGACAAAAGCTAAGAGGGTAATGGTCCCTCCCTCTGCCCCTGACTTCCCAGGGTCTAATTCTTACCAACCAGGATTGTTCTTCCTCTTCTTCC